CTCAAAGGATTTTGCTCGGCTTTTCCATGTCTATATGAAAGCTTTGCAAGGATTACATTATGAAGCCTTTTGGCGTTGATCAATCAAATCGTGGGGTACGCTCACACATTTGAATCCCATCCAGATTTGGAATAGCTTCTTAAATACGACCGTGATATAAGTCAATGACTTACGTTGGGATGATAGGTTCGGTCGGCTTATCAGCTCGGGTTGGACATGGGTAACTAACTTTGTTACCCGGACTATTCGTGTGGTAATGCCATTGCACCTATACTGGCTCTGCCCAGAGCAAAGATTGAGTCTCGAAATCGGCGCGAACCGCATTTGTCCTCATCACATTCGAGACCTGGAATTTCAGGGTAGCCTGGGAGAGCCAATGTTCGAAGTAAAATTCCCGTTAAAAAAAAGCCTCACTTTAAGGAAAGTACACGTTATTTATCCAGAGAGAGGGTTTTTCCTATCCAAGACACCCTGACCGTTCTATCCCATCACAACAACAATGACATTGCTTTGGGACTTACTTTTGGAGGTGATTTTCATGGGTAAGGGCAGCTAGAAATTCATTCTGCTGGCCAAATTACCGAATTACCTTACAATACAGTGAGTAGCAGCATGACGTATGAGTGTATGAGTGGCAGCATGACGCATTTAACCTCATTACCATCCTACAAATCCAATACTTACTCTTGCTTTCAGGTTCGACGAACGGACATGCTGGCGGACCCACGATCGAAGCTCGCGGAGTGGTTCAAGCCGGGTACCGTGAAACCTATTGCTACGGACAAGGTTCCTCTCTGATATCTTTTTATTCGAATGGTTTGATTAAATTTTGATAAGCAGAGCAATATTGCCTCAGGAAACTTTTTTAGGGTGGAAACTACTATCTGGATCGTGACGCTAAGACTTTTCGTCACATACTAGCCTATCTTCGTTTGAAAAAAGAGAAATTTGTACCGTCTCTCGCACTTCCAAGCAAGCCAGACGATTTAGCAAAGTTAGTTTCCCATCTTACCTACTACGAAGCGCTTAGTCTGTCGTTCTGTTTGTTTGTCGGTCGTATGTCAGTCACGAAATTCCTTAGCTCCTTTGAATCGGCCTGGAGAGACCGGGTCAAGCTTGGGATGGGTGGAGGCCATATCCTGAGAAGTATAAAGCACACATCAGCTTGGCGGAGCCCCGCCCACAGTGGGCGTGGGGTGCATCAAAATGAGCTGTGCTGAGGGATATCATTTCAAATTTAGTCAGAAGACGGTTCCAAAACTGGGGTGTAAAGGTGGCTAGAGGTGTGCATTGGTAAGTTAGATCGAATTGGGGAGACCCGACATTTGGAGTTGAATTCAAGTCTGCTGAGCCAATTTCATCATACAAAAAAGTATGGTCCACTTTCCTCTTTGAAAGTAGGCGGCTTATAAGGGAAAAGCCCATCCGAAAACATTTAACGACACAAATCCATAGTAAATTTATATGAAGGGTCTTCTGAAACACAAATCCACTCTACTACTTACAACGATCCATCCTTATTTCGAAGGTCATCAGTTTCAAAAGGTCTTTCAGTTAATGACAATCGATTTACCTTGAAAATTACTCAGTATATATTTACCCACATCAATTTTTTTACAGACTGGTCGGTGAGTGTGAGGCACTGAATCTTTCCGAACTCAAAGATCTTGCATTGGATTTACTTCAAAAGTATCAACGAACTGAAGAACAACACTATGTGACATCATTTGTACAGGTCACACTTCGCGACTTCGAAAGTTGGCAATTCGAAAGGGAGCAGGTGGGTTTCAAGCTTTTCCTTTTTTGAATTCAAATTTCAACCAGAACCTGACACCCTAAATTACGTTTTTGTTCCTCAGCCTATCTTTCAAGGTAACCTTTGATGGAGGTACTACTGAAATCTTTGATGAAATATCTAGGCTCAGAAAGGGCACGGAGTTGAAACAGAAATGTTACATTGCAAATGCAATAGTCTCTTTTGAAGTACTTAGTTCCCATATACAGTAAGCTCTCCACTAGTAGACTGAAATTCAGTCAAGAATGTGAAATCGATTATTAGGGGCTTAGCTTTACGCTGCTAAAGTGGGCTTTCTAAACCGTAGCACCACAAAAGGCGTTAAACCAGTAGCCGTCATAATCTATCTAATATCTGCCATCAAGCCCTGTCTCACCGTAGAACAGCCTTTTCGAGTTTGTCTTTGAGACAGACAGTGTACTAGAGTTACCAACTCTTTATTTGCCTGAATCTATGGGAATTGTCTACAGTCCCAGTAGCACTCCAGGCTTGGAACTTTTAGCTGCCTAGAAGCTAACAGTCCGAGTCTTGTTCCCCCACCTCTCGATCAAAAAACCGTGGGCCGATACCCAATCGAGACAGCGAATCTGCCTATGAAATAATGTATCATGCATTGTTTAAAGGCACAGTTCACGATGATCTTGAGGTACGCGTCTTTAGTCGAAAAGCTGAAGTATAGATTGGGAATAGTTCATCGGTAGTGAAGAAAGCGAGGAAAATCGTGGATTTCGAGAAAAATATGGCTCCTCAAAAGTAAGGAAAATAGAGGATGGACGAGATTGAAACGACGGAAATAACATGGAAGGGGTATTCGGACGAGATTTCAGTTATTGCAATTGCACAAAGAGCTGACCACATCAAGTCAGAACTGTACAGAGCTGTCTTTCACTGTCGCTATGG